TTCCCTTAGTATAATAAAGCCACAAGTGACCACACGTCAAAAATGTTTTAACCACATGAAAATCATAAATACGAAGTACATTATGATAGCGAAATTTTACAAGTCTCCTACTTAAGCATAAAAAGTTATCGACTAAATTCGTTTATAGAATCTTAAACATCCCTACTGAAAAGTTGTATTTCTGCAGATGTGACCTTATTACACCAATGGTGTGACATATTGCTATCTCTGATTGGGAACTATATCAATATGCAAAAATGATGGTCACCCGATCAAATACCAGCACAGGCAGCAGTGATCGCGTGACGTCTGTAGAACATTTCAGTACTGCCCAATTCCTATGGGAACGGACAGACGATGCGACGATGCTCTAAACCTACCTGAGTTGTTTGGATTCCCGAACTACGTTGCTTTGATGTCCGCCTGTTACACTGTTCTTGCTTTCTGAGTCAAGATACGATTCCAGATACACATATGTACGATGTAAGAGCAACATGTGTTGCTTGCAGAGTATTCTTTACCCATTTTTAACCGACTTAAAAAAAGGAGGAGGTTCTCAATTCGACTGTATGTTTTTTTTGTATGTATGTTACGCGATAACTCCGGAATTTGTGAACCGATTTTCATGATTCTTTTTTTGTTGGAAACGGGGTACTTCCATAGTAGTCCAATTTCATTTTGAAGAAAATCATCCACCTCGAAGGGTGGCTGTTCACGCATGAAGATTCACTTTTATAAATAGCGCCTAACTTTAATTTAGGAGCAATCACTTTAATGGTTGATTTTGCTATTTCTTCCATTCAAGGCGTTTTTCTCTCAATATACTTTGAGTAGTGTCGTAGTGAGAACCTATTTTTATTATCTCCAGCGTCAAGTCCTGTATAGTGGCGAACTAGGGATATTTCAATAAAACTTAGCAAATAGACGTATTCCACGTACTGTTGAGGTCGGTTTTTTAGTACTCTGTACTGAGATTATTTATCTATTACCTGCTATAGACAATCAAGTTGTTTTCTTGACGTTGTATTAAAACCTTTTGATATAACTTCTGGGAATTTCCTGCAGAAATTAATAAAAACAATATTATACAATAATTTGAGTCTTGCGCGTATTCGAAAGAGCATTTTAATTCTAATAAATAAAATTATTTAAAAAGTAAGTAATTTTAATTATAAAATTCTAATTCATAGTTACTTATTGGTGACCTATAAGTGCATTTGTTAGTACAGTAATCTTATGAGCTAAGTTAATAGAAACAAAGATAAAAATCAATATAAATTAATTATATAAACTAAACTAAATTAAACTAAAATTAAATAAAGTCACGCATTCAACGTGACAATGAACCTGCGGAAGGAAACCGAGTCCACTCTTCTTCTGTCCATAATGGATTTTGATACTTATTTTGCCGTGCTACTTCGGCAAAGAGTGGCACGCTCCGTAAATTATTAACTTTGTGGTTTCTTTTTTTGAAAGTAATGCAAACATTTCCGACCATGTTTGAAAAAAGTTTGTACCTGCGATACTCTTAAGAATATAGGAATTAGACATCCTATCGACTGCGGTGTAAGAGGCCACCTTTATAAGTTGCAATTACGAATTTGGGGGCTATCATTTCGTCGGCTAGGACTTTAAGCCAGGTCGTGACTTTCTTTCACGAGTCCCGAATTCGTTTGACGTACTAATGCATACTAACGTTTTGTGGAGGCGTGATGAGACGCGCCATGATGCGCGGGAATGATTTACGTGGATTTTTAATGAGGGATTAGGTGATTTTAGGTATTATAGGTTTGGATATAACCTAGTGTACCTACAATTCTCCTTGTCATAACTAACGCATAATATGTATTTTGGTAACATTCGAGAGATTGGTACCTAAAGTGCCTAAACCTGTTAATTACGCATATTTTGAGCCTTGGTAGCCTTTTCTTTACACAGGCGTAAAATGCGCTACGCATACCCCGCCGCGAGCGATCACATAGCGTGGTTATGTGGGACTCTCCTCCGTGGACTTAACCGGCGATACAAGCTCGCCCGATGGATACTCGAAGGCCTAACCACTAAAAATCTGTGTATGCACCCTCACCCCTTGTAGAGTTCCTTGTAAAGGAGTTCGTCCAGGGAAATAGAAAGAAAAGAAAGAAAGAAAGAAACGTTTTTCAGCTTAAGATAATTCAAGCTAAACAGATTAATTATTACATATACCTATCTATAAGCTGAAATGGATCCAACTCAGCATAATGTTACAGCTCGCTTGCTGTAACGCTGGTTTTCAGTTGGAACCGCTATTACAAAATGAGATGGCACTAAGTACAAGTGTGATAAACACTAAACTTATAAAATGTAACTTAATAATTAACTAAAAACAGGTCGAAAAATTACTAATAGGAACTATTACATGACTGTATATAAAATACTACACTTGTCAGGGACTATTACATGAATTGAATGTATATGAAATATATATGAAATACGGCACTTCATCATCATCATATCAGCCGGAAGACGTCCACTGCTGAACATAGGCCTCCCCCAAAGATTTCCAGAGCAGCCGATCGGACGCGACGTGCATCCATCGGTTACCCGACGCTACTGCTCTAGTTAGGAATTATAACATGAACAGGCGTGTTCCTTACCACCAGGCGCACAACTTGTTCGTCCCGTCACTTGAAATATCTTAAAAAGATGCTGCATTACTATTATGTAAGATGAGGAGCTTCAGAACAAAAACCGATAAATTTCAATTCTAATTTGTGGTAATCGTCAATTCTAATTTTGTCTAGTCTCATTGCATGGTTTTGTCACATTGTGTTTATCTATTTTGTGCGTGAGATGACCGTCATGTGGTATAATTAAAAAAGTTATTTCGAAAAAAAAACTAGTTTCATTCTAATTTATATATACCTAATTATGTATGTTGCAACCTTAGACTATGGAAACCAAAGGACATGTTATATTGACATATATAAATCAGACGTTATATGTATATGATGCATTTAGACGTTGGAACCATTAACATTTTATTGTCTTTGTTTAACTACTGCGTGCCGTCGTAAGCCAAAAGAGATAGCACGTCAAACATGGGAATCGAAAACATTGTAACGTCATCTTAAATGCGAACTGTCCTCATTTTGCCATTTTTGTAGTACCCTTTGATAACCGTTTCCGGTTGTCAAAGGAAAATACATCAAATGTCAGAACCAATGTTTAACAAAATGTTTTACTAAATTATTCGCATGAATTGTATCGAAATGGACAAAAATATTGACAGTGAGAACAATAAAGGTTTGATAACATTGCGTCGCTGCAGCATTAAGGGGTTCGGCAGTAGAAAAAGAGGAAATCAACCGAATGTTACATTACACTGGCATGTGTTATTTTTCTACCTATAAATCATACAATAGTCCAAACATCTCATGTAATTAGACTCATTTAAGTAGTTTATTCATAAGTCTTGCCGAATTTTGCTTTGGTTACTTTAGATTGCCTGTTTGTAAATATATTTTGATGATTATTGATAACGATTATTTTGAGATAGTGTTGTTCTTGTAAGCAGACATATTATCGATATTCTGTTATTAAAACAATTCACTACGAGGTTTTTATTATTTCATTATTATTATTTTTAAAGTTACCTACAAATGAAAAAAGAAAGAAAGAATGGCTGGAAATTATAGGACTGCCAAACATAAACATTGGATCAAATACCATCTTCGTTATTTCGCTTCATTTTGAAGAGTCAAATTTTAATAGAACTTTGAATGTAACTAGATTACATGATAATGCAATTCCATAGTTACATTTATTGGTAAATAACTTTATATTTAATTTTGATTAAAATGGCTCATTACTTGCTTAGTAATAACAGCCTAGTAGTAATCATAATTTGATTACAGTAAATCATACAAATTTACAAACATAAAACAGTTTCAACATTCAAACCATACATTTGCATATCGATATTAACTTATACAACACTAAATCCGCCATGTGTAGTACAATATTGGTTTAGGTAGGTACGTTTATTCCGTAGATAGGGCAGCTCCTTTCCTTTATTATTTTCCATCCTCTAAGATTGCAACGTACACACAGTTGACACGTATTGTGTTTCATTACTGGTCATAAACCTAGATTAATGAGCAATGGACAAGTCACGATTATTTGTGATAACGAGCCCCGTAATCCGCAAATTAATAAACGTCGAACAAGCGTAGTTACCAGATTATCTGCAGACTTTCGAATGATTATTTCAGTAATGCTTAATATAAATTATAAGTCGCTATCTTCGCATCGTAATGACAGACTTTAAGCTAGAGATTCGAATTAAAGCCTTCGAAAAGATAAAATCTCAGTGAGTCATAGCGTAATCATAGGTTAGTCCCGTGTACTATTTATTAGGATAAAGTATTCGGTGAATTTTATAATTCCAGCCATTGAACGGTTCTAAGTGTGTATAATTTTTGATTTCTGTTTTTATTTGGTCAAATTTTGGGTTCGATGAAGTATTTTTAAAGCCCAACTTGTGTTTTTTTTTTATATACGCAATGACATCTAACCACATTTTTCCATAAAGTTAAAACTTTGCAAATATTTAGCGAAATGTTAATTAAATCCCATGAAATACTTTAGTTTGACTACTTAATTTGATTTTACACTAGCAACGTACGACTTGAAGCGCTATCTAACGTGGAGTAGCGAAATCACATCAACTTGCTTTATTGACATATATTGATAAGAGATGTCGCTCTGTTCTTATAAAAAAATTTAAACTTTTCGTTTCATAATATTTTATATTTTTTACTAAGTTTTGAATTTAGATTTAATTTTTTTCTATATCAATAAAAACCTAAAATATAGATTTACATTATCAACTCTTTGTTTGCTATTTCATTTTATTCAAGAAAATTGTAACACCGAAACCATGACTGTCATTTTGATTTTTGACAAAACAGTCGTCAGTCGGCATTTTTCGTTTTCGCTTGTCATTCAACAATATTTTCAATTTTCAGTAAAATACAATGGCTCTGCTTGATTTGTGCCGTCTAGATGAGAAAATTAACTTAAGACCGAGTGATTCTCTTGCGTCTTTTCAAAATGACGTGGTCGGGTACAGCCAGAACTTCATAAACAGCGCTCAGTTGGCTATTCCACCATTCGCAAATGTAAGGTTAATTTATATTGAATAACTTTATAGAAACTTTACACCGCTTATGTTTTTATTCGTATTTACAGCCCGTTGAGACCCTTGCGCAGTTCAACACGAGAGATGAGACGGGGAAAGCCATCAAAATTCAATTTGATCATGGCACCACTACACTTGGCTTTCGGTATCAGGTAAATTCATTACATGTTAATGTTTGTTTTTTACAGCCTTAAAACTGTGTTATTAAATCATTGTACTTATCCAGTTATTTTTATAGAGCAAATTATGCAGACATTTTTCGATTCTATGATGAGTGAATGCTTACTCATCATTTCCTATTTAAATAAATAAATTACTAGCAGTAGAGTTGTTTGTGAAATATTTCTAAATAGTTTTGGAGGGCGAAATTACAGGCACATGGGACTGTGTCCCAAGATGACGGGCGCAGTGGCAGTGCCCCTCAGATCTTTGCAATTTAAAGTTCTGAATGGTACTGCAACTGTACTGCTCACTACCAGGTGCACTTATTTGTCCCGTTACTTGATATCTTACAGAAATGCTGTTACTATTATTATGTAAGTCGAGGAGCTTCAGAACAAAAACTGATAAATTTCAACTCTAATTTGTGGTGAATGAGACACTGTTATTCTTGTGTAGAGATCTCGTGCCGTATGCCGCTGTTGCGCAAGTTGAGCTTGTTTGTGCTAGCCCTACTATAATCAATAAAGTAACTTTGACTTACAAAGCTTAAAAAAATTACAACTGTAGAAGTTAATCTACTTTCAAATATATGTACACTACCAGCTGTGACTGTATTTTTACGAAATTAATGTATTAAAAAGTATGTGATTAGATTATTTCTAGGTGAAGTTATTTGTTTTAAGTGTGTATTATGTATACATTAAGTGATGTCCCACAAGTACCCTTAACCCTATATGATTTTTCAAATACCAAAATCTCTTGAATGCCAATTATCTACATCTACATGAAGTCCTTACTCATCCATTTTAAGGGTGGAGTTCTGCTGGCAGTGGACTCCCGAGCCACTGGAGGCCAGTTCATTGGCTCACAATCTATGAAGAAAATTGTTGAAATCAACAACTACTTGCTGGGTATGTTTTATGTTACTTACATGTAAGAAGCTACTAACATGACAGTAACTAGACTTTATAATGTAATTCATGCGTGCGTGCGTGCGTGCGTGCGTGCGTGCGTGCGTGCGTGCGTGCGT